GTGTATTCTCTCTTAATCATGTCCGAACACGGGAATGGCATGAACATAAATAGGACAACCATTCTCCAATGCTTATTCACATGAAATAGAACTAACAAAACTTATAAGATACTACCGTATAAATTTTTCAAGCCTGCACCATCGCATTGCTGGGCTTCTGAGTCACCACAGTTACAGAAAAAACTAGGAGGGTCACTAAATCCCCTGATCCTGCATCATACCATCTATATATGTCATATTGATGCAAAGAGAGGGGAAAGACAAGCGAGAAAAATAAATTAACTGAAATATCAATATCAAACAAACAAACCACTTAATATCTAAATAAAATGCAAATTACATGTAATCATTGTCTTCAGCAATGTAATGCCATAAAACCAACAAGGCTGACACCATCATGGGCGATGATATGGCAATCATTTGCGAAGACTAACAGTGATTGCCTTCAATTTTATCCTTGGCTAAGTAAAAATTATGCAAATGAAATGCATTTGGTGGTGTAATCATTATTCGTTTCGATAGAAACTATATCATGAGATGTTTCATATATTACCCTACTAATAGCCTCGTGTTAGTATTTACTGCTCTGGTTGATCTTGAGCAATATATATCAGCTAAAATTAGCTCACCAAACTATGCAGCTTAATTTTAAATAAAAGGCATATATTAAATTTCCTGAGAGACACAGGTTTACCTGTACATGTGCTCAACGAAGTCATCGATTAAGACAGGCCAAGCTCCTAAAAAAAGTTTAAATAGCTGATTAGATAACATATGAAACACTGCAGAGAACAGCTAAATTAGATAAATATTTCTTTGGAAATCATTCCATTCACAAATACTTGTGAAATACACTGATTTCTGTTAGTAATTTGAAGTCAATTCGCTTATCAGCCATTGAATACTATGACAGGAAACTCTTGGACTTTCTAAGCACTGACCAACTTCCTACCATCATTTCCATTACCACTATATACCACCAACAAACATACTCCCAAGAACTTCATATTCAAATTTAAGGTAGCAGCAACAACCAATCCTAAGAATAAGCATACAGTTAAGTCGAGCCTTTCTTTGCTATGTTATTGAGATAACCAAAAAATATAATTCACATATACTGTCCCACAATATAGAAATTTTTTCAAATTCAACTCTAAGATAGATTGACGCAACATTAAAACCTCTTTTGTTTACACATTGCTTTCACAGCTTTAAATGCCCATGCCCAATAATAACAAGCCCACAGAACTCACCAAGCAGCAGATGTCAAAATAAAATAAATAGCTGGCCATAAAGAGTAAAGCAGGTAAAAACACCAGGGAGAGGGGAAAAGCACATAATAAACCTCCATCTGCACACAAGAAAAATCTATTTCATGCATACGGATTGTGTGTTGAACATAAAAATAACAGTTTTCAGCATATAAGAAAGCTCATGATGACTAGGGTCATAATTTACCCATTTGATTGTTCCCTGATTAAGCACAAAATTAATAGTTTTGTGCTCAAGACTTCAGTAACAATGAAATAAGTAGGCACGTTATCAAGAAGCCCTTTCTAAGTGTTCTGGATCAGGCACTACAAAGACTCCAGATGGGCTTCCTCCAAATCATACCATCCGTTTTTCTCATATAGAAATTATTCATAATAGGCGGCAACATTACCTTCAGGATCATATCCTTCAAGATTTTCATGCACACAGCGACTGAATGCTAAAACCTGTCGCCATGTATCCTCGGAAATGTTATGTCGCTGATTACTCTGGGAATAATTAAGAAAAATGAATTTTAGCATATGTAGGATAACTGCAACGAACAAATGAAATGACTAACATTTGATTCTTATACTACTTTGCAAATCATCATACTTTGGCAACAATAGTTTTGAAACATATCACACTACAGCAATAAAATTCAAAAAACATAGTGATAGTAATCCTAGTAAAGATAGTATTTAACTTGGAGTGAATAAAATAATGTCCCTCTTTGGGCCAAGTTAAAAATGTATTTTGGAGTAGTAATTTTTTGGAGAATGTGTTGTTAAAAAATAAGGAAAAAAGTTTTGAGTTTACATGTGATATTGATTTATTGAAGAATGTGGTTAAAAAGATGAGAAAGAAAAATGGATTTTTTAAAAATAGAGCCCAAACAAGGGCAATATCTCTACTAGAATTCCCATCATTTTCTTGTTCTTGTTCGACTATGTTTTAAACCACATAGATAAGAGGCCAAACTCAATTCACTGTCTAATAGTTCAGAACATAACAAAAGAAAAACTCTATATATGGTCGTTGTACAGAAATAGAATGAATATTATAATTTTTTACACCTTCAATACTCAGTAATTTTATTTATGTATGATTAACTTATTTTTATCAACCCATCCTTTGTCTTTGACACCAGGTAAAAAATATCATTGTGCTACAAAAGCAGCAGCTAGACTGGTCAATCACTGTAACAAATTACCTTTCACCTATTTCCATTCTTAGTGAAGCCCTTGTTTGATAGCCATTATTAAGAAAAATGATGTTTTGATTAGTAATTTTTTTGGAGAATCTGTGAATAAAAAGTAGAGAAAAGTTTTTAGTACAAAATATTTTATTGTGAGAACGTGTGGTTGAAAATAAGTATAAAAATTAAAGAATTCTGTTTTAAAGGATAACAAATAGGAGCTAAATAACAGAAGAATTTAACCAGGCACCAAAATCTATCATATAAACTAGGGAAAATTGCAGCAGAAGTCCCAAATCTTTGAAACATTAGAAGACTTCTCCCAAACCTTTAATTTGTTGCAACCGTCACCCCTAATATTTTCAAACGTTGCAGGTGAAGCCCTTTTGGACGGTTTCCATCCAAAATTCCGTTAGTTGACCAAAAATTTAATTTTAACCACATTTTTAATATTTTAAAAAGGGGTAAAAGAGTACATTTTTATTTATCACATTAAATAATAATTAAATTGAAAAATAAAAAATCCATAACCCACCCCACCCCACCCCACCGCCCAGTCTTCTTCCTCAAACCCAGATTCCTTACACAAGAGATACAGAGATGGCTTCTGATGCAATTTTCCAATTGTCCTCTGCCGTCGCCACCATCTCCACCTGTCTTCTTCCTCCCACCGTACCCCGCACCCGCACCCCCAACTCCACCCCCAAATTCTACATCGACCAAGGGTTTGAGACGAGTGCTGCTGCTGTTATATTTAGGTAAAAACTTGACTAGATTTAGGTGGTGTTTATACTTAAAAAGAAAAAGTTAAAGAATGAAAAATGGTGGCCAATTAATTTTGCTGGTGTTTATATCAAACAAATTCTTTAATAATATGATGGATTACTGGACCATTAATTTTGGCCACCCAGAAGGGAATCATGTTAAATTGACAATCTGAAGTGTCAAGTTGTTGCTGCAGATTCAATGTCCAACGGTTTAAGAACCCTATGCACACAATTCTTGCGATTTTTATAAAATTTGCAGATTTTTCTCCTTGAATTGCTTGTGTGAAGGTGAATCGGAGCCTTCTCCTTGAGAATTATTGGTCCATTCTTCTTTGAATAAATCTTCTTTGTATCTCTTTTGTAAGTATTTCTCGCTAGGTTCTTGTCCGCCACCATCTCCACCTCCATCGTGGCCACCATCTCTGTATCTCTTGAGTAAGGAGGAGGAAGAAGACTAGGGGAGGGGAGGGGAGTTTTTTATTTTTTAATTTAATTAATATTTAATGTGATACATGAAAATTTACTCTTTTGCCCCTTTTTAAAATATTAAAAATGTGGTCAAAGTTAAATTTTTGGTCAACTAATAGAATTTTGGATGAAAACCGTCCAAAAGGGTTTCACCTGCAACGTTTGGAAAGGTTAGGGGTGACGATTGCAACAAATCGAAGGTTTGGAGAAAGTCTGTTCATGTTTCAAAGGTTTGGAGCTTCTGCTGCAATTTTCCCTATAAACTATAGAAGACAGTACATAAGAGATTTGTACTTCCCATAATTAAAGAAAGTAAAGAATGAAAATAAAATTCCACAACATAACTCCATGAAATCTAAACTCCTACGTAATGATGAGAAAGCCCCAATTCATGGATTTTTGCCGTCCTAATTAAGTCTATGTCAAGTGACACACCTAATTAACTTAATCAGAGAATAAGATTCTACAGCTGAAGTCCATGAAATCTAAAGTTCTATGCAATAATGAGAAGGCCTCTGTTCATAGATTTTCGCAGTCCTAATTAAGATGTATCAAGAGACCACAGTTCAAAAAGGCGGTTCTGAAACATGCTTCGATTTGAGGTGCAAGAAATCTGCATTGAGGCGCTTTTAGTGTGTTTTGGGAAGGCGCATGCACCAATCAAATGAGGTGAATGCCACAACGAGCATGAGCACATGCGTTCCTATTATAGGTATTAAACGCAATGAAAGTTGTCTTGTAAGTGGGCCCACCACCTAATTCTAATTTAGTATCATAATAAATCAACACTCAAACAAAGAAGGACAAAAGAAAAAAAGTTCTGCAATTCTTCTCTCTCCACGTCTGCACCAGCCACCCAAGACAACTAAAAGCAAAGCCAGCAGTATCTACAGAGATATTGGCAGCTCACAGCAGCTCCAACATCAATTTTTCCTTATTTTTTGCTTCTTTTTCTTTTTTGCAATTTCTATCGGTTTTTTCGTTTTAATAATGCCTTCATATGGTTCTTTAAGTGAATGTGTTCTTTAGTAAAACTAATATGAATAGTCAGTTAGGGCTTTTAATCTTCTTTCCCAATGCGTGCATTATGCAGTTAACACCTTTTAAAGGTGAAGATTATTTTAACAGCAGATTGTTGCATGCCAAGCTTTTGATAAAAATGAGAATTTTAGTTTTGTATTTTTATAACAAAAGAAAACTTGCAAAACCTCACGAAAGAAAAATGCCTTAGCACCCATTTATGCCTTTTTAAACATTGTAACATACCTAATTAACTTAATCGTCATTTATATATAGTTTTTTCTATCTAAAAACCGGTAGTCATCTTCATAGGAGAAAAGCATAACTAAAATGTCAACGATTGGTCCCTGATAACAACCGATAACAAATGCCGAATTGAATTTACCTCAACAAAGTTGCACCATTGATTAAGCAGTCGAAACCTTCCAGCTAAAATTAATCTCCAGGCCATAACAGCCCTGCTTACAGCTGAAATGAGTTTAGTACTGGTGGTCAGAATCAGATTTATACTCCAATATATGCTGTATAAGAGTGAAGAAATAGAAATAAATAAAATTGACATACTGATGCTCTTCTGACCATTTTCGCGGCATATGAAGAAGACAAAATCATAGAATCGTGAGAACTCAGAGAAATATGCCTATAGAAAGTAAGAAGCATGTAAAGCCTTGGAAAACATTTTAAAAGCAATCTTAAATCTAAAATTGGCATGTATAACTCAACGGCGTTATCTTACCATCAAGTCTAATCTTGACATGAGCTTGTAAGCTTCCTCAAGAATTGAAACCCTGTGATAGAACATAATTTTCAGTTTTCATTAACCTGGCGCTAACATTTTTCTCATCACTACCCAAAAATAGCATCTTATCAGTTAATAGACTGATTTTTTCAACGAAAGAATACTAAATAACATTCAATCGGTGCCTTAATGTACTCATCATGAACCGGCAACAAATTTTATGATGTTATCCCCTTGTGTAAAAGTTTCTATTTTCCTTCTGAGGAATATCACTTAGCCGCACTTGTTTTTTTTTCCTTCTTTCATCATTTCTGCAAGCATTTATGGTCAAACATTCCATCAAATTTCAAAATATATTTTCCTTTCTTGCAATTGATGAAAGTAAAGAGGACAAAACAAGCTCTGCCATAGAACAATATTCTATGCATATAACAATCTCAACATAAAAAATAAAAGAAAATTCAACAAGTACAAGAGTCGTGTGCACAATCACAAGAAGACATTACAAACTTCATTTGCAACTTAATAGCTAGAATCTAAGCAGCATCCAAGCATATAGTTTTAATCATTATTGTTGCAAATTTGATACCCCGTATTTACACTAGACTCCACCACCGTCAATAGCTGTGCCAGTGCCTCTCTTGAAGATCTCAATTTCTGCGACTCATCGTCTGGACTGTAGCTCTCCCCCACACTAGAATGCGCCTCAGACATAATGTCTGAAATAGAAAATTCTCGAAAACTTACAACAACTTCCCTTTACAGGGAAACCAAAAAAAAAAAAAAAAAGACGAATGGGTAGAAATCAATAAATATTATTCTTGAACTGTTCAAAAGTTTATTCTGGTTTTGTCAATTTTCCATACAACTTTCCAAAATAGAAAATCATCCACATGTCGTCAATAATTCATGGGTAGCAATTACTCAATAATTCACACTTTCTTGATAGCACGTCTAGGTTAACTAACTAAGCCACATATAACACTTCAAATTTCAGAAAACGCCAACTTTATAAATAAAATTTCGACACAAAAATGAATCTTGATGCCGTAACTATAGAATTCCATCAGTCTCAATAGATTATTTTACTCTCTTTTGCTTAAAACCATCCAAGAACTACGCGAAAAAACCATACTAGAAACATTAAAAATGTTCGTTCCAAAAGTCGATAACTTAAATCTAAATAAACAAGAGAGAAATTGAGAGAGTACCGCAATACTGGCGGTAGATTTCAAAGATGTTGAAGGAAGTGCCAAACAAGGAGTCCATGACGATTGGGGTTTTTAGGGTTCGCCGTAGATACGAAACCCTGGATTAAATTTCACCGATCGATGAATAATAAACCGTATATATCCCCGTAACCTATCCCTTTTCTCTACGAATTGATGATGAATGGAAAGGTGTCAACTACAAGTATGCATGTGTGTATATGTTGATGGTGACTCACCAGAGCTAATTGTTTCAACAATCTAGTGGTATATAAGCCCCTGTTTGGCCCCATTACGTGGAAAATGTAATGGGTGGAATAGTATGTTTTTGAAAAACGAGTGATAGAAAAAAAAAGAAAAATTTTCGATATACGTGTAATATTATTTTATAGAAAGTTGTGTGGTTGAAAATTAAAATGAAAAAAATGAAATGTAATGTAATGAAAATTAATAGGGCTCAAACAGGGGCTAAGATTCCACTCTCTCACATGGATGGAGCCCATTTTGAATAAAATATTCGAGTGAGGTCCATCCATTTGAGAGGGTGAACACCCTTAAGTACAAAAAATTATATACCACTAGAATTATTTTTGTTTCAATGATTACTGAACTTAGATGTATTTCTTTGATTGGTCATTGGAATTTAAAATATTGAGTTTTGATAATTAAACATAGGTTCATGTTTTCGATTACTCACTGGAGTTTAAAATGTCGAGTTTTGACCACTAAACTTTGAAAAATATTGTACAGTACTCACTTAAACTCGATATTTTTTAAAGTTCAATATTTATATTAGTGAGTAATGTACAAATTTTCTAAGGTTTAGTGGCCAAAAACTCGACATTTAAAACTTCAGTTAGCAATCGACGACATAGACCTAAATTCATTGATCAAAACTTGATATTTTAAATTTTAGTCATCAATCAAAGATATGAACATACATTCAATAACTATTGGAACAATTAATTATGACTGAGGGCATACGAAAACCGAACTTTATCTAAATATTTTTAGTTGGGCCGGTGTGTGGTCTTGGTGAACTGAAATTTCAAAGTTGGTCTTGGAGTACGGATCACACATAAAATAAAAAGAATAATACTATTCGTAGTCACTCATTACGACAGTCGTCCTACGTATCATACACGTAGCAGGTAATTATTTGATAGATTAATATGGTAATTTTTTTATTGACTCATGCATCAATGTTCAAATAACTATCCATCAAGTATATCACGTAGGACGACTGCTGTAGCGAACAACTACAAATAACATTATTCAAATAAGAAAAATGACGAGGACTTTTG